TTTAAGCCCTAAGCCTTAAGAAATTGACTAATCACAGTCAAGTATGAGGAGAATACTCGACTGTGATTAGTCAATTTCTTAAGGCTTAGGGCTTAAATCACTTATTGTAGACCGGCACTAACGGTTCCGGCATAAATTAACAGTTACGGCCTGCATAAATCAGCCTTAAGTCTATCGCACAATAGCGTTATCTGTAGCAGGATTCTCTAAACATCTTAGCGACGATTATCGTTGTCGTTAGCGAGCGATAGCCTATGAGAATTGCGCTTTTCACCAGGATTGTCCTTGCCATTGGCTGTCGCTAGTTAACGATACCGAAAATTGTCGATAGCAAGTTACTGAACCCCGCTACTGGTCGCGAACGCGAAACGCGACCAATGGGTGCGTTCAGGAGACACAACCGTTGAGTAGCAATCGAACGTGATTGGTTCTTACTTCTAGAACCAACAAATCAAAGTCGAGTGTTGACAAGACGATGCTTAGGGCCAGTTTCACCAAGCTTGGTTAGATTAACCGACGGTTAAAATTAGCAGGGTTCCAACTGAAATGATAAGAATGCTTGGTTTTCCTTCACCTCTATTTTCTGTTAGCCACCCTGCTAATTTTAACCGTCGGTTAATCTAACCGGACTTTGTGAAATTGGCCCTTAAAGTCCGTATCAGACTACGCATTGAAGATTGAGATTCAAGATTCAAGATTGAAATTTGACCAACCAGGACAAAGAAATTTTAGTCCCTTTTGTTCTGATTAGTCAAATTCCAATCTTTAATCTTCAATCTTCAATTTTCAATGCGTAGTCTGATACGGGCTTTACGGTTGTGTCTACTGTAGCGGGATTCAATAATTTGCTATCGACAATTTTCGGTATCGTTGGGGCCTCCGGTGGCTCAGTGCCTAGCGCGCCTGACTCACATCCCGGAAATCTCGGGTTCGATTCCCGACTCGACCCTGGCCTTCGCTTTCCCATAGGTCATCGCTCGCTAACGACAACGATAATCGTCGCTAAGATGTTTAGAGAATCCTGCTACTGAACGCGCTCAACGACAGTCGCTTTTCTTTATCAGAGCAAAATGATCATCGCTTTATTCATTTTAATAGAAACAAAATAACAACAAAACAAAATAATAGAAACAGTCAAGATACGGTAAGTCGTTTTTCATATTTTTGCTTATTGTTATTAATTCTTTGCTTTTAATTCCGCTTTTATTCATATAGAAGTTTAATAGTTATCTGTAATAAACATTTTATAGGTTAACATCTCCTATTGTATGGAGCCAACAGTAAAACACCGAAAAATGAATACTATGGATTCCGACCAGAATAAAAAAGCATCTACCTCCATGGTACGTTACATGTTTTTTTTTATGAAATGGATGAACAATTATTGTATATTTATAGGAAACACGTAATGAGATTCTATGTATTACGGAATATCAACTTTTGAGGACATTGCTAAGAAATCGTGGTATGTAAACAAAACCTGTAAGTCTGTTCTTTATAACTGAACTGAGCTGAACTGATTGCACTATTTCAATTTATCTTTTTCTCTTTACATTGGAAAGAGAAAAATAAACTCTGAACTAGTGCAGTCAGTTCAGTTCAGTTCAACTATAAAGAACACACTGCATATTCATAAAAGTTAATTCTAAGCAACATACACAGGCATAACACTAAATAAAGCACCCCGATGGTGTAAAACAACAAATTTGAATATGCTCAAAAAATTTCTTGAAATAGAAGTTGATGAACACGGTTTGCCAATAAAGGATCAAGCGGATGAAAATGGGGACCAAGTAAAATTTAAAAATAAAATCCTATTTAAGGATAAGAACATTTTCAAGGAAAAAGAGTTTAATGAACATTTTGGTCGTTATCCTGTAATATATGTAAATTTTAAGGGGGTATATGGAGATTCATTTGAAGATGTCTTGAGATCATTTAGATTTGTTTTACATGACTCGTTTAAAAAACATTTGTATCTAAAGAAAAGTAAAATATGGCTGGAAGAAGGGAATGATATATCAGAATTTATAAAATATGTGGATCATGCTGAGTATAAAACCTTAACAAGAAAAGAAATTGAAAAAGGTTTAAGATATCTATCCGAACTCCTTTACAAACATTTTAACAAAAAAGTATATGTGTTAATAGACGCGTACAGTATTCCTCTATCTAATGCATCGTTCAACGACTGCTTTTCTAATGATGATTTAAAAAAAGTTATATGGTTAATTTCTGATATAATTATTGTTTTACTAAAAGATAACAAATATGTATACGATGCTTTAATGAATCCCTATCATTATTGTGAGTTTTATTACAGAATGCAAACAATATTACACACCATTCTTTCTTATCTAAAGAGTTTTGTAAATATTACGGTTTTACACCAGAAGAAGTGAAATTTGTGAAAAAGTGCAAATTTGTTTAATGATCAAATTAAGATTATTAAATGTATTGGTATAATGGTTACAATGCAATTGACATTAACAATCATCGTATTAAGATATACAGCAATTGATCAATTTGTAAACTATTTAAATAGGAGAGAGTTACGTAACTATTGGTCCTCTGATGGATTATATCTAAAATTAAAAATATATTGTTCCTCTCATGATAAAGTTCAAGATAAAATTAAAAGACTTATGGATGAAACATTGATTTTTTAAGGTATATAGAAAAAATAGCAGTCGATTATATTGAAATTTTAAAAAAGGTGATTTTTTCTTCTTCATCTAATATAAAAGAAACAGATGTTAACTTATTTGTACAATTTTCGTACGAACATGGTTATTTAAATGTCGAAAATGGAGATAGAGGACGGCTTGAATTAAAAATTTCCAATTTTGAATTACATGATAAAATTTGTAAAGCCCTATTTTCTATAGATTTTTTTATTAAACATTACAATTTTGATCAAGCTTCCATGAATAACTTTATTGAATCATTAAAGTGTATATCGCAAAATGGAAGAGAGGGATCTTTTGTGCCATCGGCACAGGCCATAAAAAATTTTTATTATGGATCTATTATCATATTAACAAAAGAGTTTGAGTTTCAAGCTCATCTTTTTTACTTAATACAGAGAGGGTTTCCCAAGGTTTTTGGGAAAACATAATATATACGCGTTCAGAATGACAAAATTTAGAACTAATATCGTGATATGTGATATAGAAAAAAATACTGGAATAATTTTTGAGTTAAAACTGCGTACTAATGGAAATTCAAAATCTACTCTCAATCAAATATTAGAAAACGAATATTACATATTATATTTGAAAAGGAAAAATTGTCAATAGCTTAGTTTTAATTGGATTACACATATGGATAAACAAAAAAATTATTATTTCGTATTTAATTAATAATTCTGACAAAAAAAATATAAAAATTGTATTTACTCTCATGTATTTTTGTGTTGTAATAATCTTGAATAAATAAATTAAAATTGTAATTTGGTTTTCTTTCACACCTAGCATATTCGCTCATCAATTTGTTTATATATACATTATTACAACGTATTTTATGATAACAAAATTATTAAATTATTTTTTAAGAAACCATTCTAAAAAAATATTTTTTAAGGAACAATTCTCTCTCTCTCTCTTATTAAACATTTTTCAAGTAAAGAATATTTTAGTAATTTTTTAAGGACAAAGTATTTTTTGAAAGATTTTTTAAAAAGGTTTTTTGGGTGTGTAAGTATAATAACTTTTATAGTTTTTGAATAAATGGATTTTAATTCATCCCGAATCAATTAATCACTATTTTACTACGAATTCAAGTCTTTTATTGGCAGAGACAATGCAATGACATCATTAATCAACTTTGGGTCAATTAAACTTTCTTCATTCGAAAAATATGCTATATGTACAAAACGAGCATTTGTAAAGTGCTTTTCTAGGATGTGGGCTCACGGGCAGTGATGCCAGAATGGCCACGCTAGCAACACGCAACCGTAGTGGAGGGGATGACGCACACAAGCGCAAACCGCGAACGTGTGAGCTCGGCGCTTCGGCTGGCTTCGGATAGCAGAAGAGGACAGAATTATTGTCACTAATTAACATCACACTTGCAAAAATAAGTGTGTAAAAAAATTGTCACTAATTGACATCACACTTGCAAAAATAAGTGTATAAAAAAATTATTGTCACTAATTGACATCACATTTGCAAAAGCAAGTGTGCAAAAAAATTATTGTCACTAATTGACATCACACTTGCAAAAACAAGTGTGTAAAAAAATTATTGTCACTAATTGACATCACACTTGCAAAAACAAGTGTGTAAAAAAATTATTGTCACTAATTGACATCACACTTGCAAAAACAAGTGTGTAAAAAAATTATTGTCACTAATTGACATCACACTTGCAAAAACAAGTGTGTAAAAAAATTATTGTCACTAATTGACATCACACTTGCAAAAACAAGTGTGTAAAAAAATTATTGTCACTAATTGACATCACACTTGCAAAAACAAGTGTGTAAAAAAATTATTGTCACTAATTGACATCACACTTGCAAAAACAAGTGTGTAAAAAAATTATTGTCACTAATTGACATCACACTTGCAAAAACAAGTGTGTAAAAAAATTATTGTCACTAATTGACATCACACTTGCAAAAACAAGTGTGTAAAAAAATTATTGTCACTAATTGACATCACACTTGCAAAAACAAGTGTGTAAAAAAATTATTGTCACTAGTTTGCGCTTGTGTGCGTCATCTCCTCCACTACGGTTGCGTGTTGCTAGCGTGGCCATTCTGGCTCACGGGCCCATATACTGTGGGTGCGTTCCGTTATGCACTGCGAGTACTGCAGTCATGATGATATCATGTAAAGCGGGGAGCACACACTTTTGCATAAGCGCATAGTCATAAGCATAAGGAAATTGATTGGTCCATTTCCTTATGCATAAGGACACATGCATGCGAACACCGCGATTTCAGAACACGGCCGCTTGAGCCACGCTCGCCTCCCGAGCTCCACGCGCACCGCTCACGCGCGAAACTCTGTACGCACCGTTCCCGCATGCTGCTTCGCATAGCTATCAGAGTTAACTATCTTTTGTAATAACCGCTTGAATAAACCCAATTATTTAAACCGCTTATACGAGGCACAGTAAGTTGGAGTTTCCCCCTTCTCCCGAATCCTGGCACCGGCGAGCCTTGATCCGCGGCGTACGGGAAAGGTGAACCGTTACAAGTATATAAGGGAGTTAGCGGTTTAATAATATATCGAAGTCTGTGCGTACGTATGACGTCACCTAGGGGTTGATTGTGTATCTTAAATTCTTAAAACGATGTGAAAATTACAAAAGTGAGGAAATTCACTAGAGTGTCTACGATTCCATTCGTCGAAATCTAGTAAATCTGATCACTTTTATAATTTTTACTTTGTTTCAAGGGATACACAATCGACTTCCAGGGGGCCTATTAAGCTTATATCAGACTATGCATCGAGATTGAAATTTGACCAATCAGAACAAGGAAATTTTAGTTCCTTTTGTCCTAATTAGTTAAATTTCAATCTTCAATACGTAGTCTGATACGGGCTTTACGGTTCTTGAAACGAGGTGAAAATTACAAAAGTGAACAGATTTACTAGATTTTGACAAATTAAATTGTAGATACTCTAGTGAATTTCCTCACTTTTGTAATTTTCACTTCGTTTCAAAAACCGTAATAAGCCCCCTGGTCAATGTTTTTAGTAAGGTTTTATATTGATAGAAAGAGATGCCAGTCATCCAAATCATAGACATATAGAATGGACTGAGCGTTGCGATAGACAAACGTGCGCTCGCTGTAGAAAGAGAGATACTATATGGGAGGCCTATTTTGTCTTTTTTCCTAGCATCTCATTGGTGAGTTTGTCCCCCTCCATATAGAAAATTACCAATGAGATGCTAGGAAAAGAGACAAACATAGGCTTCCCATATAGTACCTCTCTTTCTACAGCGGGCGCGCGTTTTTTTATCTCGCAATGCTCAATCCAGTCTATATATCTATGATCCAAACGTACCTCTCTCTTGGCGAAATGATGGCGACAGCCAAATAATGGGATCGCTCATTCCAATATATATAGAGTTCAATGTGGAAGGCCTATGTTTGTCTTTTTTTTTTAGCATCTCATTGGTGATTTTCTATATGGAATTCTATATAAAATCACCAATGAGATGCTAGGAAAAGAGACAAACATAGGTCTCCCATGTAGTACCTCTCTTTCTACAGCAAGCGCGCGTTTGTCTATCGCAACGCTCAGTCCATTCTATTAGCGTTTTCGAATGAACGGATTAACCCAACCCGGTTCATTTAATCACTATATTTTACTAATGAAATTCAAGCCTTTTATTGACAGAGACGATGCATTGCATATGAATGACAATAAATTCATAGTAAAATATAGTGATTATATGTAGGATATCCTGAGGACATCGCATTTTAATCCTCGAATCTCCTGGACATCCTGAGGAAGAGTAAATGACTACGTTTACACGTCACCTCTAATCGGGTTTAATAACATTCGTAGTTCGAAGGCTGGCCAATCACAGTCATTCCATTCTTCAGAGGAATAGCTGTGATTGGTCAGTTTCACACTACGGATGTTATCAAACCCGATTAAGGGTGCCGTGTAACAGAGCTCATAGACTACGTTTACACGTCACACCTAATCAGGTTTAATAACATCCGTAGTTCGAAGGCTGGCCAATCACAGTCATTCCATTCTTCAGAGGAATAGCTGTGATTGACCAGCGGTTAATCTAACCGAGCTTGGTGAAATTGGCCCTAAGGATGCCGTGTAACAGAGCTCAATGATAGCCAAATATTAGCCTCTGGAGAATCCAGGGAGATCCTGTGGATCCTAAGAATTTTTATAGGATATGTTAGAGATATTTTTCGTACGTTTCAAGGAGCAAATTCTGAAATTGAAATATAAATTAAGATTGCGTTCTGTTATTTACTGCCAATACTAAAAATCTAATATTGAAAATAGTTCACGTTCTATGATTCTTAAAGCTTTCGTGCTGTACATGAATATTAGGTTTGCCTTCCAGGTTTGACCCATGTAATATTTTCTAAACAATCCAATATCTGAATTCCCTATATTAAGATTGCATCAGAAGTTGAACTGATAGAAAATAATTACATTTTTAATTTCCTACCAATTGCTCTTTACAAGCTTTATATAATTCTCATGACTAAATCTCAAATACGAGATCGCGCGTCGCATAGCGGTAAACAAACGAACTAGCGGCTGAATACTATTTTTTGTAACGTTTTTGAAACATTAATACTTATTATATTGCTTAAGATTTCTAAATTATATTAAATAGCCTACATAACTGAAAATAATTATGTATGCATAGTTTTCATAAAATATATTTATAATAATATTTTAAAACATCCTACAAATGTCTTGAAACGTCCTGGACATATTCAGGATGATTCTGAGGATGTTTTGTGCTGTCTGGTTTATTTTCATATTTTCTATATTTTCGAAATTCATTTCTGAATAATCGTGGTCCATGATATCACTTTGTAAAGTATCTCATACATTTTTCTCTGTGTAGTCTATGGTCGTTGTTAGCTTTCGCGCATCGCGGGCGACGAAAGCAGAAACTTGACCAATCTTTTGAGCGACGTCGCACCAAGCCTCGCGACGGATGTGACGTTCGGAAAAGCAGAGCTCTCATTGGATATCGCCCATCGCTCATCACGTTCAGTGTGCAAAGGCCATTACGGAAGAGCTTGTGCGGTGGACCTTAAGGCTATCGCACACAAATAGCGTTTTCGAATGAACGGGTTAACCCAACCCGTTCAATTATAATGGCTGCGTTCAGCAGAAAAAGCAGCTTTGCAACTGTTGTAAAATTCTTTAATATGATTGGTTTATACATTTAGATCCGGCAGGAACTAAGGGCAAGAACCAATCATATTAAAGAATTTTACAACAGTTGCAAAGCTGCTTTTTCTACTGAACGCAGCCAATGTATGTCCTGGATGCCCCCTGGATGACCGCCGTAGAGTTAGCAGAGAAATTAAATATTTTCTAATTATTTTATATTATATAATTTGGAAATCGTTTGGGGAAGATTAGGAAAATCATTTTAACATTTAGGAAACAATATTTTCTTTGTAATAATAAAAATTTATCGAGCGTCAAGTTAGCAGGTCTTAATTATGTTTAATAAATATTATGAACGGAATCGATTAGAAATCATTTGGGAATAACATATTCATTAATATTTTTATTTGGGAAAGTCGCATTTTTGTAATTTAAATAAATTTGTGTATTCAAAAATATGCATTATGCGTTATGCACGCGGCATAAAGGATTCAACCAATCAGAGTCCTTTATTTCTAAAATGAAAGACTCAATAAAATATTTTCATGTGCGCTGGTCCTTAAGAGCAAGCAAAATGAACAAGATTCAACTCTATAACATTATGTTACGTATGACGTCGTCGGAATTGACGACGTAGATTTTATTATTTTACTGAATTTTTATAATTTTTTTATAAACATACCTATAATAAATTAATGGCTTCATGCCTGCAACATTGGTAAGAAATTTTAAGTACATATTTTTGTAACATTTTAATAGAAAGCACATACAATTTATAATAAATTAAAAATAAATTTCAGGACCATGTGCTGCGTGTTTCATTTTTCATTAATGCATAATGGCCTGCAAAATAAGATCGCCCGAAAATATTTAAATTCTCTGCTAACTCTACGGCTGTCCCTGGATGTCCTAAAGCTCGTATCAGACTATGCATTGAAGATTGAGATTCAAGATTGACATTTGACCAATCAGAATAAAGAAATTTTAGTCTCTTTTGTTCTGATTCGTCAAATTCCAATCTTTAATCTTCAATCTTCAATTTTCAATGCGTAGTCTGATACGGGCTTAAGGACATCCTTGTGCTATCTGGGGTATGAACGAAGGAAAATAAATTTTTACAAGCTCGTCGCGCATTGCTCATCGCGCATCGCCCATCGCGTCCAGTGTGCGAGGGCCATAATGCGTTACGTTACGTACTGACCGTAAACTTAGATTCGTACGTAACCTTAAACTTCAGTCAACGCACAAAGAAAATCGTAACCGTAACAAAACAAAAGTAACGTAGCTAAAGAGTGATCAGAGCGTCATCATATATGAGGTAAGTATATGACATATCCCAGATAGCAAAATACTAGCAGTATGCCAACAAATTCAATCATGACTTTGCAGCTAATTCCGCTTTGCTGCGTTCTCATTAAGCTTAATTTCTGGCAGCATGGCTTGCCGATATAATATAACAGAGAAAATGGAGCAAAAATCGAGTATTAGTTGCTATCGTGACAGCAGATATGTAACAAATATTGAGGCAAAAATGCGGCAGAAATCAAGCATGGCCTACCGTTACAACGTAACGACAGAAACGCAGTAAAAGTCGAGCATTGCCTGTTGTCACAATGTGATGACGAAAATACTGTAAAAATAAAACACGCCTAACACAAAGCATAATTACTAATATAGATGTAATAAAAACTGAATATTAGCATAGTTATAAATAAGTAATTAAATATATAAATTAAAATAAATGATTAATTTATTAATAATTTGTAAATTTTAAGATTTGTATGGAAATTCAACTCTTTATTTTGTTTCAAGCAGTCAATAATTGGACGATTTTCTATTGATCCACTCGATTTCCAAATTTTCAGTTTAATATTTTGAATCCTTTGTTAGAATTCAGAAATTAAGCTGATAAAAATAGATATGGCTCCTGCACACATGGGTCGATCATGTACTTTTCCTCTAGGGCGGAAACGTGAAAAGTGAAGTTTCATTTTTCTATGATTTTGCCCGATCATGTAACTCTCCCAACCGCGGAAAAGTGAAACTTTTCGCTATGAAACGTGGTGGCGGAAAGGCAGAAATCTAGGGAATTAATAAATATACTTTGGAATTAGAATAAATATAGTACATTCTTGTTGTACTGCATCGACAGAAGAAAGATTTGTTATGTATGCAATATGCTGTATTAATAATAATAATCGCCCCTAGCTATAAAGCCTAAAAGTTATGTTTAATGATTTCATTTTCCACACATCCAAGCTACATACATAATCGCTATGCGTGAAAAGTTTCACGTGAAATCTGGATAAGTGAAAAATGAAAAGTGAAATTACATGATCGACCTCCAGGATACAAGACGCGGCGAACGTTGCCGTGCGGCAAAAGGCGATACAATAGCCAATCAATTTTTCGCTCTAATGAAAAAGTTGTAAGTTGATTGGCTACCGCGTCACTTTTTGCCGCACGGCAAGCGTTTCCGCGTCCTGTGTGCAGAGCGGAAGCCATTACACATTTTTAATCTTGTTATCGCGTTTTGCAATCTTTATATTTACCTATAACAGAAACTTAAATACGAGATAGATATGTCATATAGCGGTAAACGAAAAAACTATTAGGTTGTTCGGAAAGTAATTTCGTTTTTTCCAACAGAGGACTTAATTGTATTTTTTCACAGCCAACTTCACACTTAAGCCGTATAATCATTATATATTTTAACAGCTGATATAGCAAGGCTTGCTTGTGAAAAAGTTCGATTGATTCTACGCAGTAGTTTTTGGTTGGTACCCTTTCAAATATGGAAAGCGAAAAGCAGCATTTTTGGCATATTTTATTATTTTTTTTAAATTTTTTTTTACTTTTTTTTTGTTTTTATTTTTTTTCATATTCTCCAGATCTGGCACCTTCTGATTATTATTTGTTCCGGTCTCTACAAAATTTTTTAGACGGTAAAACCTTTACTTCAAATGAGGAGGTCAAAAATCACCTTTTCAAATATGGAAAGCGAAAAGCAGCATTTTCGGCATATTTTATTATTTAAAAAAAATTTTTTTTTACTTTTTTTTTGTTTTTATTTTTTTTTATATTCTCCAGATCTGGCACCTTCTGATTATTATTTGTTCCGGTCTCTACAAAATTTTTTAGACGGTAAAACCTTTACTTCAAATGAAGAGATCAAAAATCACCTGGATCAGTTTTTTGCCAGCAAAAAACAAAAATTTTATGCTACTGCCAGAAAGATGGCAAAAGGTATTGGACCAGAATGGACAATATATAATTCAATAAAATATTTATTCACTATAAGAAAATCGTCTTTCATTTTCATAGAAAAAAACGAAATTAATTTCCGAACAACCCAATATGTATAACGATATAACATATCTTAATATTGCTGTGATTCTGCCATTATTTTATGACAACAGAGCATGCTGTGTTTCTGCTGTGTTTCTGGTGTTATCTTTTGAAATGACAGCGCATGCTTAATTTTTGCAGCATTTTTGCCCTTATGCCGTGCTTGCAGATGAACTCGATTTCTAACGATATTCTACCGATATAGCATGATGTATCATTATGTTCAATTTTTATTTAGCTTTTGTTGACATATTGTGCCAACACGCAACGCTTTAAATCTACTGTTTTTATGCCAAGAACTTCTGCTTAAATTTTGCAGCATTTTTTGTAGCATATAATGATGCAAAGATTGCTTGTTTTCTCCTGCATTTCTGCCGGTACTAATAAAAACATAGTCCAGGCAAATCAGATTTTTTAGGGGAAAAAAGTGGTAAAGTTTTGATTTTTGGATAATAAACTCTCGAAAGGATTAGAAATAAGGTACAAAAAAGTTCCTACCCTAATCATGGATGGAACATCCTCCTTTAGACGGAAAACTACCCCTGGAACGGACTCGTTCGGAGTTTTCTTCACTTATCTTCTAAACCGTTACTCAAACGAAAAAAATTTTGTCATGAAATTTTGCATAAAAAAGGTCTGATATACCATAAAGCTAATTCCCATATAATTCTCGCAATTAGGGTTCGAAGTTAAGGGAAATGCAGCGCACAAAGGAAAAAATCGCTCTAGCACGCCTTTTTGTCGCAAATATTTCCGAAACCGCTGTTTTTACTCAAAAAATGATAAGGACAAAAATTATAGAGCAGAATATTTTCTATAAAGTACTTGTCCCACAATTTTTTGTTTAATGTTCTTCACCAGTCATCGTGTTAATGTTGAAATCTGCATTATCGAAAACAAATTGGGAAAACGAAGAGCTATCGATATCAGGACATGATTGTATCGCAGAATACTCGAACTGTGAAACTTCTTTATAGCTTGAACATAAACCCATATTGCATACTGTTTGGACGATACTTTTCGAGGCAACTTTGCCTCATTACCAAAAACAGCGGTTTCGGAGATATTTGCGACAAAAAGGCGTGCTAGAGCGATTTTTTTCTTTGTGCGCTATATTTCCCTTAACTTTGAACCCTAATTGCGAGAATTTTATGGGAATTAACTTTATGGTATATCAGACCTTTTTATGCAAAATTTCATGGCGAATATTTTTAATCCTATGATTTTTTCGTCCAAGTAATCCAAGTCGTCCAAGTTTAGAAGATAAGTGAGGAAAACTCCGAACGAGTCCGTTTCAGGGGTAGTTTTTTGTCCAAAAGGGGATGTTCCATCCACGATTAGGGTGGGAACATTTTTGTCCCTTATTTCTAATCCTTTCGAGAGTTCATTGTCCAAAAAATCAAAACTTTATAAATTTTTCCACTATATAGCCTTTTTTGATTTAATTTGCCTGGACTAACAGCAAATGCGCGGCTGCTGCCGGAATTCTACCGATATAATATGTAATGCATAATTTGCAATACGTTATCTGGCAAACTTGGCAATTTGGGTATTTTATAGTAAAAAAATTTTGTGAATAATTAATTTGATAAATTAATACTCTTATTCATATTTATAACTTTATTGTAGTAGTTCATTTTCGCAGGTATTGTTAAAATATATAGTATATACCTCTTATTTTCAAATAACCGTACCTATCTGGGTTTTTTTATTTTTAATATTATGTTCATTATTATTTATATATAATTCTAATTATATATTACTCTAATTCTATTTTAAATTGTTTAACGTTACGTATTTAAAGATTTTAGATAAAAATAAAGTGCAAACTGTAAAACATGGATCATCAGTATAGTTCATATATTTGGAATGAAGAATCGTCAGACACGATGAGTAAAGAAATTATTGAACTAGATACTGAAAGTGCAACTGATGCCAATATCCATGTTCCAGAAAAAATGGGCGATGATTATTTAATTGAACTATACAAAGAAAGAAGATTTCTGTATGATAAGAAAAATAGAGATTTTAAGAACAATGAAATAAAAAATAATGCCTGGAAAGAAATGTCATTGATCATGACAAAAGATAAAAATCTTGGTGAGTAAAATTGTGTTTAAATGTTATAATATATGATCCTAGAAAACATTAAAACTTAACATTTTAAAGACGTCTTAAAATTCTCAAGACAATTTGAAATCTTCCAGAAAGAAAATTTTTTAAGATGTCCCGACTTGTAACATCTTAAAGATGCCTAATTTAAGAGTACACGTTTATTATACATTAGTATATTAATGAAATTATAGTTTTAAAGTTTTAAAAGTACTTCATAAAAAACGATTTGGGGAAACGTCTTTACGACGTTTTTCAGACATATTTGTTCTCTGGGATAGATTTTAAATGTGTAATAAATTCATTTCTCTTTATTTTCATCATCCATAAAACGATTATTCAATTTATAATATATCATTTTTCAGGAAATCATTACACGGCTGAATATTGTAAAAAAAGAATAACCACCTTAAGGGAACGATATGTAAAGTTGAAGAAGGAACAGGATTTGAAAAGTGGAAGTGCAGGTTGTAATAAAAAGAAATCTTCCCTTTTATCGCAATTGTCGTTTTTAGATGAATATATTCAAAGAAGACGGTCAGTGTTTTATACATAATTTTTTACATACAAATTTCTATATATTAATATTCATATTGACATTAAATTTTTATTTTACTTTTGTTTAACCTTTCTTATAGAACTTTAACAAATGTGAAAGAAAATGAAAATGCACAAATGCCTGCTCTTAATAATAATGCAGCTATATACCAGAAAATAAAAGTCGTAGAAATTAACAATTCCAATAAAAGAGAATCTGAAAAATCTTCATCAAGCCAAGATAACACTCAATACGATTCAACTGAAGATCCTACATTTTATCAAAAACCACGTAAAATAATAAAAAATAGTCCTGCAAAAAAAAGCAATGAAAATGATGACACTTTACGTGACCTGACTAATGCAATTATTAATATTTGTACTCAACTACAATCGAATTCAACAACACATGGAAACGTTGTTTCTAAATCTGCAGAACAAGCTTTTGCAGAATTTGTTGCTTTTTCCTTACAAGGAATGGAAGAGCCAGAACGCAGTATAAGGCGAAACAAAATATTTCAAGATCTCACTACACCACTCGATCAGTTATTGTAATAAAATGTCTATTTCTTTTTATATTTTAAAATGTTCTTTTAATTACACATTTTTTTACTATTTTATTTTGTTTTTATCTATTGATAAATATATATATGTATTTATGAGTAATATGGATCGATCATTTTTAGTTTATTCTATGTTCAAGTTTAACCAAAGACTTGAAGTATTTGAAGTTTGCGTTAAAGATGTAAATGCTTAAGTGGCAAATTATTACAAATATTTTTATTTTATTGAAACTAGCGTCAAAACCAAGAAGATTAGAACATGTTGAATTGTTGTAATCTTAATATAAAAAATGTTAAATGTTATTTTTGCTAGTGCAATCTGTAACGTATTTAATAAGACTGCTATAAAATGTTTTTTTTCAATAAAACTATATTATTATAATGTTTTATTACATTTAATAATGAACAAAAAAATTATGATTTATTATACATAAATACATAGTATTAAAGTATCGCTATTGTAACCATCAATGCTTCAATAAGAATATTTTATTGCATTATCGTTTCATTTGCTAAAGTAGTAAGTGGATTGTTTCTTTTCTTCTTCTCTTTATTCTTTTAATGTTTTTTTTTTTTATATAAAGGACCACGCACGATTCATATGAAAAAAACGTTTTTGGTCAATTCGCTTGAATTTGTGATGTTATAGTTCTTGTGTCCCTGATCAAAAATGCCAAGTTACAGAAACTTTCTATGTCCAGTTTTTGAATTATACGGGTATACAAGAAGTATTGGAACCCCTTTTAATATTTCGAAAAATACGCATTCTAGAAAAAAATGTTTCATATAAAAGTTGCAGGGTTTTATGTGACGCATTACATAGCAATATTATTATGACCTTGAATAGCGTTGTCAAAGTCACGTAAAGATTACCTTGACATTTTTTAACAGAAATCCCCATTTTTGATTGCATATTCTTATAGCTTACCTTAAGAGCTTTTCAAAACACTATAATAAAGTTCCTTTCCATTAAGTATTTTCAAGTTATCAGGCTGGAAAGATACAGTACCGTCAGTATTATAGCATTACTCGAAAGTGATTTTTACGTGATCTTAACAATGCTATTTCAAGTCACATTAACATTTACTACTTAATGCACCACCTAAAACCCTGCAACTTTTATATGAAACATTTTTTTCTCGAATGCGTATTTTTCGAAATATTAAAAGGGGTTCCAATACTTCTTGTATACTAATATAATTCAGAAACTGGACATAGAAAGTTTCTGTAACTTGACATATTTGATCAAGGACACAAGAACTATAACATCCCAGTGAGCATTATTGAGAGGATGAGCTCTTTAAGAGGACTTTTTACAGACTTAATTAAATTTTCTTAGAAATGATATCAGTAAGTTATCTTTTTGTAAGATATCTTTCACAAGAGCTCTTTATGATATCTCTTCATAGATATCTCTAAAATCTGTAGCAAGCGTGCCATTTAAGATATTTAACGAAAGCCGCACACATGCGCAAGCAACGTACATGTGAACTAGAGACCCTGTGTTCTAGTGTAAACTGCGTGCCACTGCATGGATACATGATCATTTATCGATGAACGCAATTTTTTGCAAGCTTTGTAGGGGCCGCGCTGTTGTGTCCGCCTACGTGTACATATATTTAGATTTGGAGTTTTATTCAGTATCGGACACGTCGAACATCCACAATTTATCATCAACATAAATTTGTAGCTTCTTCAAAGTCATTTTTTATGAATTTCGGAATCCTATAATTTGTATCACTTTACAGATAGTCTCCTTCCGGCCTAAGGGGTCGTTCCCACTGAGCGCGTCTCGCGTCGCGTCATGCGTCGCGTTACAAGGTAGCCAATCAGAACGTCTGTTTTATTGCATCATCTCCGACGCGACCTTCTTGCGCGACGCGTCGGTTTGGTTCGTTTGGTTGCTTGACATTCTCGCGTTTGCCATAATAACATAATTTCATACATACATACTATACTCATTTTGTTTCAATCGTAGGTCTCCTATATTTAATACACTGTTTTAGGTCATATACTGTTTTACAGAAAACAGATAATCAGATTTGTACTATATTTTAATTTAAAGGTTATGTTTACGTTTATTGCAACCAATAACCTGGCGAACTAGTACATTCTGCGCATGCGTTGATTTGCCGCGACGCGTTCAGTGTGAATAACAAAAAACACCATGTCTTGAACTTGCGTCGTGACGCGACGCTTGACGCGCTCAGTGAGGGTGCCATTACACGGAGCGCGGAAACGCGGAACGAGAGTGAAACCAATCGCGAGCATTCTGCAGTTTTTGTTACGCTCGCGATTGGTTCCCTTCTCGTTCCGCGTTACGCTAATCCGCGTTTCCGCGCTTCATGTAATGGCACCCTGAGATCGACCCCTAAATAACTTTCGCGCATGAACCACGCATGGACTACACCATAGACATAGTATATCTAGACCAAGTGTTGAGGAGTGGGGGCCGATGTGCACGTAGAAAAGGACATACTCTGTTTCGTGCCCCTTGCGTTCTCTCTCGCTCGCACAGAGCATAGCGCTCTCTTTCGTCATGCTACGTGCGAGCGAGAGAGAACGCAAGGGGCACGAAACAGAGTATGTCCTTTTCTACGTAGACATCGGCCCCCACTCCTTAAATAAAGGCAAACGCTCGGTCTAGATATACTATGTCTATGGACTACACCATCTCGGGAGCTGAGGCAGCTCATGCTCATGCGCTCTCATGCGCTGCACAACATGGCGCGGCGTTGTGGTGAGAGACCGTTTCCATGCGCGCATGAACTGCGCATGGATTGAAACGGAACGATCTCGTGCGCTCCTATGCGCATCATGCGAGAAACGGAACGCACCCTTAGTACTCACAGGTCTTATTACTAGCAGGCCTTAAGACTAGGATGCGGTTATACCTAGCGGACATAGTACTAACAGGCAATTCTAACTAGCGGACTTATCTCTAGCATGCGGCTTCTATTTACAACGCGGTATTTACATGCAGCTTATATACTAGTGTCGGGTTAGGTGGTGAGGTATTGCGGGCAAGACCGAGTGTCACGTCGGGCCAGCCTTGGCAACGGAAACCGGCGAAACCCGGCAGGGCTGAGCGAAACCTCAGCCCGGGTAGGTGCTAGGAGCCGGCGAAACCCGACAGGGCTAAGAGAAACCTTAGCCCGAGGAGTGGTGACAGGAGTTGGCGAAATCCGACGGGGCTGAGCGAAACCTCAGCCCGAAGGTAGAGATAGCCGGCGAAACCCGGCAGAGCCAAGAGAAACCTTGGCCCCGAGAGGTAGTAGGTACTTCGTAGGTCGGTGTATGGAGTCGGATCGCAGGACGGAATCTGAACGATCTCGTGCGCTCCTATGCGCATCATGCGAGAAACGGAACGCACCCTAGATATACTATGTCTATAGGTGTACTTCTATGTACCCCCCTTATCTCAGGGAACGAATCGTTGACGCGTAGTGTACAACATACTACACACAAGACTTCTCGCATGTGTATGTGTTTTGCACTGCAGGTACAGAAATATTATATAATTATACAATATGTTGATACATATTTTTTTTTTATTGGGAGTGTGTGGTCAAACTTGATTTAAATTCAATATATTGAATTTAAGCAATGTTTTAAGAAATTACGTTGTTATACTTGTTCGAGAATGGTTATGTTCTGTTAAATCATATCAATTAGATATATAACTACAAATTTTTTAATACGTTTTAGCTAAATCATGGGAAAACAATTCGGAAATCTTGCCAAAATTAATGGCATTGTCTTTTTCCGTCTTAGTCCATATGAACAAAAAGCCTTCAAGGGAATAATCTCCGAAGGTGTACCGAACTTGATACGACGTTTCCAAGATCGTGTATTCCGTGTTGCACCTTGTAAGCATATTTGATAATTACATAATTAATATGTTAGATGAGATAGGAGTTACCAATGACTAGTAATCCACTTTTTTATGGTGATATCTGTGATACCAACAATATTTAAATTAATTAAAACATTTGCGACAAATAAATTGTAATATACTTGTTATATATATACTTTAACTTCTAAATAAAATAGAATGTATGAATGCGCCATAGAAAAGTCACTAGAGAAAATAAGAGAAATGCGTTATATATATTAATATTGGCCACAATTTAATTATATTTATATATATTATATATATATTATATATATTACTCTATGTCATTCATAAATTTCTTTTTAAATTGTGCTTAAAGAAAAGACTCCAAGTGGAGTGTAATGTTATAGAATAGCATTATATCTTATATCTTATACCGTAAAATAGGTTTCACATCTTTAATATAATTTTAAAGATTTTTGTAAGTTTATCATTTTGACAAAAAAACATCATATAATATCTATCTTTTTATTTATTAAGAAATATTTATTATTAAATAATAAATTTTATTATTGAAATATTACCATTTATATTATTTTCAATCGTGTGCTCATTATTGTTTTGTCCTGCAGAATTTTGATTAACATTCAAATGTTGCTCCTCTGCTGGAACACCTACAACAAAAAAAATTTAAATAATTATTTTGCTTTATAATGATTAAAACAATTTAAGAATAATAAATTCATAAATGTATATTTCGATATAAAGAAACTACAATACAAATTAAACCTATTCAACATATGTGTATATATATACACATATTTTCATGTATATGTATGTGATTAATGATAATGAAAATATTAATGATAATAAGAATATCTATTTCTGACTTTTATCAATAAGACAATGTGTATATATGCAAATAGATATTGCTCCAGTACTATAATATATATAATAATCACAATAATCTAATAATTTATAATTAAACACTTCCAATAATAAAAATTTCTGGCGTAGTTAAACGTGCAAAATTTACTCAGCATATATAATTGCATATTTATTTTGCAATTTAATGATGCATTTTAATGCTCTAATAATGGATCATTTATTTGTCACAGTTTTCATGTTTTCTTACTTGCTTGTAAGTTGGGCAAAGGAGAAGAATGATGCTTTTTCTCGCAAAAACCCCAAGGACTATGAAAATGATACGTAAAATATAAGTGAATAGATTTTTAAGTTTAATAATGTAGACACATCTAGATAGTATATTGTAAATTGCCAATCAATCTTCAGCATTGAAATAAAAAAATAAACTATTAATATATATATTAGAAAATATCTTGGATTTTCTTTCTTTATATAAATTCATTGCTCCTTTTTTTACACAATCCAAATAAAATATAAAATGCAATTATGTTACATAAGAAAAAGAAGATTTCACATATTTTTAAAAAAAGTCTATTAAGAGGATAAGTTTTATTATTAATATAAAAATACATTTTGTCTATATTAAATTTGATATATCTTAGACATTCTATTTAATTATATATATATATATATAAAGGGTGTTCCACCAAAAGTGGCCACCCCCTTTTATCTTTTAAACTAAAAGAGATAGACCATAACAAATATATATCAAACTATATGGTTCAAACTGAACTCTATTGTGAGCATAATGGTTGCTTTCAAAAGCTATTGGTGTTAATGAACGGAGAGGTATGCCATATCGCAGGGCCGAAAATGAAAAGGTAAACGTCGCCCGCGATATTTCAAGTTGTTAAAACACGTATAAGGTATAAAATATTTACATTATATCAAACATCGTTGTATTTGTTTCAAACAGTGCTACAACTTTTATCATATCGAAAAATTCACATTATAAAAAAATTATGCATACCTTTGTTCGTTAACATAGATAGCTTTTGAAAGCTGAAACCATTATGCTCACAATAGAGTTCAGTTTGAACCATTTAATTTGGGTCACCTTTAATTTTTTAAATGGAACTGCCTACTTTTCATTGCATATTCTGATAGCTTATCTCGAGAGCCTTTCAAAACACTATAATAAAGTAATTTTTTAAGTACTTTTTGGGTTATTTTATATTTTAATCTGATATATTTTGATATAAAAAATCAAATATCTCGTAAAATATTTAGTTTTCGATAATCTTACCGTAATACTTTTATGTACAAAATAATGAGATAAATCAATTAGTAAAAAAAAATTGTTTTTAAGAAAAAGTATGTAATCATGTGTCCCCCTTTGAGCCATACAACTTTTGTTTAAAACATTTTTGTCTTAAACTTATAGATTTTAAGATATTTCAATGGATACATTAAAATGGCCTATCCTGTATTGTATTAGGTGTACAAATAAGTTTCCGCTGTTTTTTATCAAAAATTGGACATTTATTGTGAAAGAACGGACCCTAATGTTTTATTTGAAGTATTGTCCATTGTTTGCCACTACTTTTTCCCATCTTTCTGGCAGCATACGGATACCGCGTCGGAAGAATGCTTCATCTTTTGAGGCTATCCACGAATCGACCCAATTTTTGGTATCTTCATATGATGTGAAGTGTTACTCAGACAGGCCATGCGCCATCGATCTAAACATGTGGAAATCAAAAGAAGCAATGTCTGGTGAATACGGCGGGTGAAACTTGATGAAATTTATTTAGTTAAAAATAGTGCAGTCAAACTATTGTGTAAAAGAAAACTACTGGAATTAAGAATGAAAGAAACTGAAAATCCAGCCGAGTTTTTTAATGACTTTGAAAAACTGATGAATGAACTAAAAAATGCTGGTGAAACTGTGAGCAACGATGATAAATTAAACTATCTACTGTTGACGCTTCCTAAGAGTATGTCACATATAGTTGATGTAGTTGATGCTTTACCAGATAAAGGCAAATCAGTAGAATACGTAAAATCCAAACTAACATTAGAATTTCAAAAACGTGAAGATAACAATGGTAACATAAAAAATAATCTTTAAGCATTTAATTCCCAAATGCCAAAAAAGGTAAGAATTTTAATCAACAACAAAATAACAAATATTTTAATTCAAGAAACTTCAACTTTAATCAATCTAGCAATTCAAGATATCAAAATAATCAGGAAAAGCCAGATAATTAGATAAAAAGATGTTATAAATGTAACAAACTAGGACACATAGAGCGTTTTTGTTGGAACAATTCAAATGGACAAAACAGATATTCAAGAAATCCCAACAGAAGTAATTTAATGAGAATCGCTGGAAATTCAGTTGTAAATGACGAAAGTGAAAGAAATACTTTTAATGTCGAAGTTATGACAACGGCTAAAAAGTCAAATGAAAAAAACATGTTAGTTGAAGAAGTTACATGGTTATTGGATAGTGGTTGCTCAGATCATATTGTGAACTCTGATAAATATTTCTCGACGTCTGTAAAGTTGGAAACTCCTGTGGATATTAAAGTGGGTGATGGCTTCTCACTACAATCCGATAAAATTGGAAATATTACTATTTTTTTTAACGTTGCTGATAAACAAATTGAAACCGAAATAAAAGACGTTTATTATGTGCCAAAAATGAAACAAAACTTATTAAGCATTTCGACTATTGTTGTTCAAATTACTGGGGCTGTCTACCGAATACAATTGATGAGATTGAGTCGAGCACTCAAGGAAAAGCGCGCCCACTACTCCAGACACGACAAAGTTATTCTCCTGCATGATAATGCTCGTCCACATGTTGCGGCGCCGGTCAAAACCTATTTGGAAACACTCAGTTGGGAAGTTTTACCCCAGCCGCCGTATTCACCAGACATTGCTCCTTCTGATTTCCACATGTTTAGATCGATGGCGCATGGCCTGTCTGAGCAACACTTCACATCATATGAAGATACCAAAAATTGGGTCAATTCGTGGATATCCTCAAAAGATGAAGCATTCTTCCCACGCGGTATCTGTATGCTGCCAGAAAGATGGGAAAAAGTAGTGGCAAGCGATGGACAATACTTTAAATAAAACATTAGGTTCCGTTCTTTCACAATAAATGCCCAATTTTTGATAAAAAACGGCGGAAACTTATTTGTACACCTAATAGTTGTAAGTACGCTTATTGTATATGAAACACAATTTTAGGATAAGTTAGAATAAGCTACACCTTCTGTAAAAACAACTACACCTCTTGCTCTTTTATGTACTTTTATATTTGTGATAGCTGCACTTTCCGTACAGCACTTCGGCACTTTTTGCCGAACTTGTGATTTTGCGGCGTGATTAGTTTAATCGGTTAATTAGCCATTATTATTAATTATTTTGGTATTTGCGTTGACCGCGGAGTAAGATAAAGCGGTTTTATACATTTTATGTATTATTTTATATTTTTTATACGCGCTAGAGACTAAGTGCGGCGAAAAGCGGCGTGCGCATGCGTCGGACCGCCCAGTGGCGCGCTAAAGTGGGAACGGCGAGTAGTGGGAATGCTCTAGAGTGGGAATGCCCGGGAGTGGGAAAAGGGTATATAAGGCGGCGCGGAGCGTCAGTCGAGGCCTTTTTCCGGTAGTTCCAGCGACATAAATCCCGAAAACCGACACTCAGATATTTTTTCTGTTTTAAGTTTAGATTATTTTAATAAGGCGCAATACGATCTCCAGCAGTGTGGAGACGCGCACCGAGTACCTGAATTGTGAAAAAGTTTTATTTATATTAAATATTTATATTTTTATAGTAAAATATAGTCACTTCAGTGTTTTGTTATTAAAATACCCTTGAGCCTGTGCTATTCACTCCAGCCAAGCCTGTGATTATCCAGAGTAACCCTTAACCACGGGGCGTTGATCCTGCAATGTCCGACGGCAATCTGAAACAGAAGGAAGAAATTGGGTAACAAATTCGTGATTCCTGCGCCGAGCCTGTGCTTCAACGAGTAACCTTAACCATCGGGCGTTGATCCTGCGAAGTTTCCAGTGGCGGTCTGTAACAGAAAAAGACGAGGGAAGGTACACAGCGGAAG